TGGATCAGGCCAACAATATTGTTCTGGGGCTCAGAAAGCACTGCGGCTGAGAAAGGGTTTTCTGTCTTGCAAGTGTTAGTTATCTTAAGAATCTATTTGTAATTCTGAATTGTTGCAGGGTGCCGTGTGGTGCAGAAGTGCCAGCAGAGTAAGGCAGAAATCTGGATATAAAAACGAATCTTTAAGCTGCGATTCCTGCATTGCAGGGGGTTGGACTAGATGACCCTTGGGGTCCCTTCCAATTCTGCAGTTCAGATGTCAAGGAAATAAACAACTATCTGACTTTTAGAAGACATCTGAAAGCAGCCCTGTTTAGGGATGTTTTTAATGTTTGAAGTTTTATTCTGTTTTTAGTGTTTTGTTGGGAGCAGGTCAGAGTGGCTGGGGAAACCCAGCAAGACGGGTGAAGTATAAATAATAAAACTATTATTATTATTATTATTATTATTATTATTATTATTATACCACAATTGAAACACACTGGGAGTTGTGGGTATCAGAGGCAGAGAGCAGTGTAGGGTGTGGAAGGAAAACCTCCCTTTCTGCACAGGCTGCCTGGGCAGAGACGAGGGTGGCCGGGGGGCCTCCTTTATGGAGGAGTCTCCTCTACCCAAAGGGCCACCTAGTTGAACGAGGGAGCCCACCGGAAGGGAGTGGCTCTGCAGTGGCTGGGGGGAGGCCCTTGAAGTTGCCCATCCTCCCTGGGCAGCCCCTGGCCAAGGGGGATTCCACTTCATTTGGCTCCCCCCTCCATGGGCGCTTCACTCACACGCTCCCTGTGGCCTCCTGGGTGTTCCCCACAAGGAAGCACTTTGCCCACCACTCCCCCCCCCCCGGCTTTTCTCTGGCTTAAAACATGGGTCAGAGGCAGTTGGGGGCAGAGGCTTTGCTCATATGCACAGACAGATAAATCCTAAAAAGAAGCACACCAAGATTAAGCGGGGATAATCTCTTGGCCATCTCAGAGAAAGGGATCAGGAAGGGAGCACAGCCCTGGTTTGGCTCCTCTGGCTGGCAGCAGCTCCCCAAGGCGCCAAGAGGAGGGCACAATTCCCCTCCTAAGGAGAGGCCTCTGGATCAGAGCAATGGCCCATCTGCCGGCCGAATGGATGCCCAGCTGGGGAAACCTGCAAGGGGGATGTGAGTGCAAGAGCCAGCTCTCGCCTGCCTATGACTGCGGTGAAATCTCTGCAAGAGCTTTACAACAAATAATAAAATTGCCCCCCTACCTCACAGGGTTGTTGGGAAGATGAGCACCACGGACGCCACGCTGACGTCCCCAGAGGAGAGGGGGGATTTAAATGGAAATAAGAGCAGATTGCCTGCTGGCTTCCCTTTGAACCCCTTTGAGCCTCCCCCCCCCCCAGGCCTTTCCTGGGAGCAACAAGGGGGCTGCCTCTGAGGCATCTCCTGTGCAGGCAGCAGACAAGACAGGGCCATCACTGGCTTCTTTGGAGGCAGGAAGAAGAAAAGCAGGCACTTGTTCCAGCTTCCCTCCCTCAGTGCAGGAAACTTGCCATCTACTGAATCTAGACCAATGGGCCCATCTTGCTCAATATTGCCCACACTGACTGGCAGCAGTGGCTCTCCAGGATTGCAGTCCTCCAGAGGACTTCTGAGAGTGCTCTGCACGGATGTCGGCAGGAGTTGAGGCCGGGACCTTCTCAGCTCTGCCCCAGAACGACAGCCCTCCCCTGGGTGCCAAGTGGGGCTCGCCAGGACTGCCCAGGACTGACTCTGGGGACACAGGCCTGGTGGCTGCCTCCTCTTGCTTTTCCTCCAAGAGGCACTCCTGGCTCCCAGAGGCTTAGGAAGTAGTTTCTTGCTGGTGGCTTGGGAGAAGCCCAGGTGAGCTGATGAACTGGCCCTGCTCACGAGGAGGCTCACCACACATAACCAGCTGAGGGGAGTCTCTGCCACATGCAGGCAAGAGCAGAAGAGCTCAGGGAAATCCCAGGTGGGTGCAAGTAGCCGCCGCAGAGCTCCTCTCGCCACAGGGAAACCACTCAGTCCTGTTTCTTGCAGATCCTGCCACCATGGAGGGCACATAATGGATTTGGATTTGATATCCTGCTTTATCCCTACCCAAAGGAGTCTCAAAGCGGCTCACAATCTCCTTTCCCTTCCTCCCCACAACAAACGCTCTGCGAGGTGAGTGGGGCTGAGAGACTTCAGAGAAGTGTGACTGGCCCAAGGTCACCCAGCAGCTGCAGGTGGAGGAGCGGGGAAGCGAACCCCATTCACCAGATTATGAGTCCACCACTCTTAACCACTACACCACACTAATATTTAGTTTGAATCACTGGCGGAGAGCAGAACCGCAAGGAGGATGGAAAACCAGGGACCCCAGTTCCTGACATTTCCACGCCCCAGTCTTGCACCAGGAACTGCCTGCTCCCCACTTCTGCTCCCTGATGAGAGGCAATGAAGCAGCCCAAGCTCTTTGGGGGGGGGGTGGCGAAGAGGGAGGAAGGAAGGTTTGCCTCTTGGGCTGGTGCCAAAAGAGGCAGGAGCCCGTTCAGGGGGGAAACAGCTACCCTTTCTCTACCGGCTCACCAGCCCCAGAGGATCCCTGCAACCCCCTCTCCCTTGCCTGGTATATTATAGCTGAGGAATCTGCTTGGCAGAGGGGGAGAAAGGGGCCCCTCTCCCCACTAAGGGATCTGTCATATTGGTGGGTGGGTGCTCCACAAACCCTGGTGCCTGATGATCGTCTTCCAAAGCAACTACTCTAGTCCGAACTTACAAATGGAAAGCGTAATGCTGGTGGTCAACAAAAGAGGTTTAAAGACTCTCTCAAGGCAAATCTAAAAAAATGTAGTATACACACTGACAATTGGGGAACACTGGCCTGTGAGTGCTCCAACTGGAGAACAGCCTTTCCCAAAGGTGTCGTGGGCTTTGAAGACACTCGAACTCAGGACGAAAGGGAGAAACATGCTAAGAGGAAGGCACGCTTGGCAAACCCTCACCGTGATCAACTCTCATCCAGAAACCAATGTCCCCATTGTGGAAGGATGTGCGGATCCAGAATTGGCCTCCACAGTCACTTATGGACTCACTGTTAAAACTGTGTTTTTGGAAGACAATCTTACTCGGCTACGAGGGATCGCCAAAGAATAATCTGGGGGGGGGGAGTGCTCCACAAACAGCCCCTCCTGCCTGCTGCTGTCCCCCTTGTTGCACTTTGAGCATGTTCCTGCCAGAGCTTTGAGGCGGCAGCCGTAATCCCACAGGACTGGGATCTTGAATTAATCATGGGCTTTTGTCACCGGAGCTGCTTTGCCTGCCAAGGGAGCATTTGTTGCTTCAGGTGACTTTCTGAGCTACTTTCGTATGAAATTCAAAACTCTCAGCTCCTGATTCCGCACTCCTCCTGCCGTGTAGGGCCTAAACCCTGGAGGCTGTGTGCTGGGGAAGAAGTGGAGTCCTGGCCTTACATGGGGGAGGCCTGGGCTCAAAGCCCACCCCCCACCCTCTCTCTTGGAAGTGGAGAGGGCCTTGCAGGACATCCTTCCCAGGGACTCTGTGCAATGGAGGTGCCCAGGTTGGGCCTGAAGAGCTCTGGCAAGGGAGAGGCCACCGCTCTCCCTATTTAGATTGCTCTTACCCTTGCAGAGTTGATCACTCTTCTCCTGCAAAGGAAGCCCCCCAGGCCTGGCCCGGCATCCTGCTTCTCCTGCCTGCCTGAAACCTTGAGAAGCTGCTGCATGTCAGCGTAGTGCAGACGGTACTTGGCTGGAAGTGAAAAGCAAGACAAGGAAACTACCTCTCAGCCTGGTCTTCCTCACACGGTTGTTGTGAGAACAAAACGGGGTGGAGGCAAAAACCCGGCATGTGACCCTCAGCTCTTTGGAAGATGATGACGGAATAGGAGTGCAAGAGACGGAATAAATCAGTCCCAGCTGTTGCTTGAGCTGCAGCCCGAATGACCCTCACTTGGAACCAGACCATTTCTGGGCTGGCCACCAAACCTGCAAAATCAGACAGAACCAGGCCTGGTGGAGGAGACGGCAAGGCCTGGGAGAGGGGAGCAGCTGGGCTGCCCAAGAGCCCAGCAGCAGCAGCAGCAGAGGGAGGTGGTGACACCATTCCCAGGGGGCCAAAAAGTGGGGCACCTCGTGAACTCTTTCTTGTAGCATCATGGGGGACGCAGCAGCAACAACAACAATGGTGAGGTGGGCAGGGATGTCAGTGAGCAGCCAGGAAGCCCCACGGCCCTGGGCAGAACTGCCACCCTGGCCTGGCTGGGCAGAGAGTGCCTTGAGCATGTGCAAAGATGCTCTACTGCTCCAGAGGGTGACTGGGAGGGCCAGTGCGGGCAGAGGTCCCTCTCCCACTGCTGCAAGCATCTCCCAAGAGGATGGGGCTCTTGGCGCTAAGCCTGTGGGGTGGGACCACTGTGGTGGGAAGGTCGCTTTGCAAATGGGTGGGGAGCCATGCGGCTAAAACCCTGCCCTCTGCCACGTCCCTACTGAACCCAGCCACCCCTTTCAGCTGCTGTTGAACCAGCGGAGGAAGGAAGGGCAGGTAGAATCCTGGCACCTGTTTCTCTCTGCCAGCACCAAGAGGAGGTTTCTCATCCCTCCTAGTGCAGTTACAAGCACAGAAACCCACCTGCTTTGGGATGTCAAGAGAAGGGTGCTGGGGGGGGCAGTGGTGAATCTCCCCATCCAGTTGGGCCCAGAGATCCTTGCTTGGCTGGATATTGGAAGGTGGGGAGGGCTGAGCCATAAAGAGCCCCTTCCCACATTTCTCCCCCCAGGATACCAAAGAATGTCAAGCAGCTCCAGCCAGAGAAGATGTGACTGGGCTGGGGGGGGCACAAGGTGCCTGACCAGCACCATGCTGGCCTGGGGGAGAGCCACGGGGGCAGCACAAAGGCAGGCAGCCTCCTGCTCAGCCGGCAGCAGCAGCTTCCGCTGTGACCATTTCCAAATATGGGGAGCAAACCCAAGCAAGGAGGCCAAGCTCCTGCTCCAGAAATTAAGAAAAATAATAACAACAACAGCAACTAAATGTATTAGATATACATTTGTGTTTTCCATGGGTTGAAGTGAACATCCACATGTACAGTTTCCTTTTGCACAGCAAAAGATATAATAATAATTATAATATATCTATACATATCTATAGAAACACTGAGACTGGAGAAGAAAATGGATTTGTGGAGAATAAAAATAATATTCGTCAAACCTCATAATTTAAAAAAAACACCCCCAAAAGGTCTCCATGATCTTCACCACAGTGCAAAAGAAATAAAAACAAAAACAAAAAATCTCTTAACACAGCATGGAATGGAAGGAACCATGGAGGGAGACACACGTTTTTTCAAAAAAGGAGGAAGGGTAGAAGAAGGAGAGTCCGGCAGGGAAGGAGGGATGAAGACCCCCCCTCCCCCCTTGGGGATCTGTAAACAAGACACACCCCTCCCCCACCCCCAGGGTTACGGAAAAGCATTTGGCAAGTCTGGGGGGTCCCGAGAAGCTGGGGCGTCATCCCACCGTTCGGGAGCGGGGTGGTCCTACCGGCGAGCGGGCGGCCGGACGGGGCTCCTTCTCTGAAGACCGGCCGCCGGGCCGAGGAGGAAATGTGCCGGGGCTTTTCTGCCTGGAGGGTGAGGCTCGCGTGGTGGCCCCGGGGGCAAAAAGCGTCCCACCTGGAGGGCGCCGGCAAGCGTGGCCCGTCTTCCCTGCGCCTTGGCGCAGCCTCCCCTGCCTGCCTCCCGCCAGCCGCCCCTCCGACGGCTCCGTCAGCCGCTGTCTCCTCCGGGCTCGGGGCTGTCCGGTCCGCGGCACGGCTGGAGCGGCGGCGGCGGGGACCCTCCGTCGTGGCCGTTGCTCTCGATGGACGACTCGCTGCCGGTGCTCTCGCCCGAGAGGAGCCGGGTGACGCGCAGGTCGGCGCGCAGCAGCGCCACGTCGTTGCCGATGGCCAGCTCGCCCAGGTCGCAGATGAGCTGCCCCAGGCTGGGCGCCGCGTCCGCGCCCTCGTCGTCGTCGTCCTCGCCCAGCGGCGCCAGCAGCTCCTCGTCGTCGTCGCAGTCGCCCTCCTCCTCGTCCTCGCCGTCGGGGCCGCCTCCGTTGGCCAGGCCGGCGGCGCGCTCCTCCAGCTCCTCGCCCAGCGCGTCCTCGGTGATGGAGCCCAGCTTGGGCGCGCTGCGGCTGCGCTCGACGGGCGGCTTGTAGCAGCAGCCGGGGCCGTGCAGGAGCAGCTTGCGCAGCGGCACCAGCGGGATGGCGCCGTCGGCCGCCGCCGCGCCCGCCTGCTGCAGCTGCTGGTGCCGCGCGTCGGCGCGCTTCTTCAGGCGGCGGAACTCGGCCAGCGCCGCCGCCGACGTCTGGTAGAGGAGCAGCGCCATGGCGCGCGCCTTCTCGGCCTTGGAGACCAGCACGGCGTGGCAGCGCAGCAGCACGGCCTTGTGCTTCACCTCGTGCCGGTAGATCCAGGCGAAGAGGCGCGGCAGGCGCGGGTCCGCCACGCAGTAGGTGACGCGGTGCAGCAGGTAGAGGTGGCCCGGGCGAGAGGCCGCCTCGGAGGGCGCGGCGGGCGCCATGCGGATGCCCTGCGGCCCGATGGTCAGCTTCATCTTGGTGCCGTGGCGCCCGGCCTCGCTCCTGGCCCAGATCTTGCCCACCGCCACGTCCGTGCAGCCCTCGCCCTTGGCCTGCAGCGTGGTGGCGTTGCCCAGGTAGAGCACCGTGTAGGTGGGCGCCTCGCTGCTCACGCGGAACTTCTTGCGCTTGCAGCGGAACAGGTTGCCCATCCTGCTGAGGGCGCCCTCGGGCGGGCACGCGCGAGCCAAAGAGCCCAGCGCCGCCGAGCAGGGCAGGCTCCCCGCGCCCGCCGCGCAGCAGCTGCCCTTGCCCTTCCCCGACGGCGCGCTTGGCGGAGGAGGCGGCGGAGGAGGAGGATGCCGCCGGTGCTTCTGCTGCGTCTTCTTGTGCTGCTGCTGCGTCAGCTGCTCGTCGTCCACGGCCAGCAGCTCGAACTTGTGCCTCTTCCAGGGCAGCATGGCGTCGCCACCCGACGGCGCGGCCGGCCCGGGACGCTGCTGCTGCTGCGGCTGCTGCTCCTCAGCTGGAGGCGCCCGCCGCAGCCCCGGCCGCCCGCGCATCCCGACGGCGCCCGAGGGGGACAGCCGGGCACGGGCCCCCGCCTGCCACCGCCGCATCGGCGCGCGCGCCCGCCGCCCCTCGCCGCGCCGCCGTCGCTGCCGGACCCGCCGCCGCTCCGTCTCCATCGCCGCCGCGGCTGCAGCGCGCTTCACATCCCGTCCGCGGCCGCTGCTCGGGGCTCCGCGCGGGCGGCCGCGCCGCTAAATATAGGCCGGCGGCGCCCAGAAGCCCCGCCGGGGAGGAGCGGAGGCGGCGCCGACGGAAGCGGAGGGAGGGACCGAGCGGAGGCGGGAGGAGCCCCGGCGCCGCTGCCCTCCTCTTTTCCCGGCCGGGGAGCGCGCTCGGCAGGGAGGGAGGGAGATGCGCGTGCGGCTCCGGATCGACGCCCCGGCTGAAAAAGGGGAGCTCAAGGCAGAGGGAGCCACCACCGGGCGGAGGGGGAGGCTTGGCTGGCGTTCCCGGCTGCGTTTGCGCGCTGCTGCCTCTCGGCCCCTCGCCCCCCGCCGGTCACTGGGCAGCCGGAGACGCGGCAAGGACGGGGCGCAGTGGGGAAGCAGAGACACAAAAGAACCGCGTTGCAAAAGGGCGAATTCGGGCAAAATCCCGGCGGGGGAGGGCGAGCCGGAGGATGGGGCGCAATACGGAAACAGGGAGAAACGGGATAGCAAACAGAACTCCTCATCTCTAACCATGTTAGGAAATGGAGCTCCCGGGTCCTGTTTGCTCTTTCTTTATTTCCATGTTATTGCATTTATGTCCCAGTTTCCCCTCGTCCAAGGAGCTCACGGTCCAGGGGTCTCTCTCCCTCCCCGTTTTATGCTCACAACAGGAGCCCTGGGAGGAGGCTGAGAGGCAGGGACGGCTCCCAAGGTCAGGCAGGAGAGTTTCATGGATGAAGTGGCCACTTGAACCCGGGTCCCCAAAATCCTAGTATTCTGCCACTGTGACCACTATTCCACACTGTCTTTTTATGCCTTTGATGTGAGAAGAAGACTGCTGCATCTCCCTGGCCAAAGGGTCCAGCCAGGGAGCATCCCAGCATCTTGACTCTGACAAGGTGGCTTTTCCGTCTCCACAAGCAGAAGCCCCTCTGGCGGCTGCTCCCCTTGCCAGGGCTGACTGAGGGGTAGACTGCTTTGGAATATGGAGGTTGCACAGAGCCGTCACAATGATTACTGCCCCTCCCCTTATGAGCCACCAGGGCTAATGGTCAGGAGAGCATTGTCTGGTACGGCTAGGTGATGTGTCAAGGAGCATTTTCTCCTGTTAGGTCTGCTGCAAGGGCCGTAGCTCAGTGGCAGAGCACCTGCTTGGCATGCAGAAGGGCAGTGGTTCCATCCCTGGCAGCCTCCTCAGGGAGGGCTTGAAAAAGACTCCTGCCTGCTTGAAACCTTGAGAAGCGGCTGCATGTCAGTGTAGTGCAGAGGGTACTAGGCTGGAAGTGAAAAGCAGAGCTTCCTGTTTTCCATTCAGTCAAATGAGAATATTCCCAGCATGGATTCCAGCTGCTTCCCCCAGTTCCTTGGTTTCATGGATTTCTCCCCCACAGCCCCAAGATCCCTCTCCCGGTCAGCTGCTGCCAACGCGGACCCTATCCATGGATTCTTTGCCTCCATGGGCATCACTTGACACATCGTTTCTTAAATATGTATCCTGCCCTTCATCCGAAGATCTCAGGCTTAGGGCACAGCAAAAAGACACATAAATAAAACCACAAAGTACATAACGGAAACAAGAATGAAAGCAAAGCAAACCAAGAACCCACCCAGTAACTGCCTTGGTCATGTTGTTGCCCAGTCACCCAGTTTGGAGAAGTCCTTACAATCTGCTCAAGCTTTTGCTGCCCCAAATGCGGAGTTTTCCCCTTATACCATCCTGGCGCAGGCAGCGCAGAAAGAATCCCCAATATAATTTGGTGTTACGCAGATGTGAGCAGCAGGCCTTTGTAATGTGCCATTACTCACTTCCCTCCATTGTTCGGGGCCTGTTTACTCCTCCTCCCTTTCTCTCTCTGCCTCCGGTTGTTTAACTGACAACAGTCCCCAAGAGTTCCTGTCTGTCTTTGTCTGCCATGACTGCTGAGTTTTCCCTGGAGGCTGGGGGGGGGGGCAGCTGGAAGAGGGTTCAGAAAAGGGCAACCAAAGAGTCCCCTACAAATAAAATCTGCACCATTTGGGACATTTTCGTTTAGAGAGGCCCAGCCACACTTCGCCTTAAGCCCATGCCTCTTTGCCCCATTTTCCATTTGGTCTGGGCGTGGCGATTCCACTTGTGCTTTTTGCCTCGGACCCCCGAAGCCCCATGTTTTCCTGTTCATACTTCCTATAATCAATAGTCTGCTGTTTGTGTCGTCTCTACCTTCAGCTCTCCCCCTCCCCCATGGCAGAGAGCCAGAGAATCAGAAACCCAGAAAATCAGATTATCAGAAAACCAGCTTTTCAGAAACCTGAATAATCAGACAATCATTCAACATATACAAAAGGAGATCCTCCCAACACACGTTTTGCACATACAGTACACGGTTTGCTTGCAATTTCTGTAAGAATGCTAAAGAGAGAAAAGTAAAATAAAATTTAAAAATTAAGCATGCCGAGAAAACTGGAAGTGCGCTGCTGGAGAGAAGCTGCAGAGACAACTGGAAAAATTATCCTGCCAGGGTAGGCAGGGAGAGAAGGAGAGAAAGTGGGAGCCGACTGCCCCCAACATCGCTTCCAGGAAAGCACAGGAAATCTCATTCAGGAGCTATTTTAGGACCACTTCAGAAGAGGGACAATTGTTCCTTTGGGTTTTTCTCAGCTTGATGTTTGTACCAATTCAGCAATAAACATGGGGTTTTTCCAGGGAAAGTGGTGGGCCCAAAAAACAAAAACAAAACCATATTGGACCCCTAAAAACAGATCAATACAGAATACTAGAAGGGCTTGAGTGTTCATTTTGCACCTTGGTTTCCTTCCTTGAAGCCTGCGTTGAGGTATAATCTTGATAGCCATCGTGGAGTGTATTAGTCGGTAATCTGTCCAGCAGTTGTCAGCAAAGATCACCAGTGTTGAAGCGATGATTCTTCAACATCACCTTCGTTGTGCTGGTCATGTTGTTTGGATGCCTGATTATCGTCTTCCAAAGCAACTACTCTATTCTCAACTCAAGATTGGAAAGCAAAATACCAGTGGACAACAAAAGAAGTTCAAAGACTCTCTCAAGGCAAATCTAAAAAAATGTAGTATAAACACCAACAATTGGGAAACACTGGCCTGTGAGCGCTCCAGTTGGAGAACGGCCTTTACCAAAGGCGTCATGGGCTTTGAAGACACTTGAACTCAGGACGCAAGGGAGAAACATGCTAAGAGGAAGGCACGCTTGGCAAATCCACACTGTGATCAACTCCTGCCCGGGAACCAATGTCCCCACAGTGGAAGGATGTGTGGATCCAGAATTGGCCTCTACAGTCACTTACGGACTCATGGTTAAAACCGTGTTTATGGAAGACAATCTGACTCGGCTATGAGGGATCGCCAAAGAAGAAGAAGATCAGAATACTAGCAATCATAAGACAAGCAGTAGTCATGGCTGTGCCCTGAAGGTGATGTGATAGAAGTTTATAAAATTATGCCTGGCAGAGAGAAAGTGGATGGGGAGAAGTCTCTTCCTCTCTTCTGTCAGTAGAATTTGTGGGCATCCAATGAAGTGGAACCTGGCAAGATTCAGGACAGCACAGGGCAAAAACTCCAATTGGTAAAAGTAAACAAGAAGCGTTAAATACTTTACAGAATAACAATGTTTAAAAGTCTGAGAAAACTAAATGTCTCCTGGCAGCACAAGGATAACAAAGCAGGTGCCAGGCGAGCCTCCCGGGGTGTTGGGAAGGGTGTTCCATGTGCAGGAGTCGCCACCAAAAATGCTCCACCTGTTTGCCACCTGCTGTCCTTCCAGTGGCCGGGATTATTGCCGCAGGTGCCAACCTCAGGAAGAAGTGGGGAAAAGGATATGGGGCAACACTAGAATCAGGCCAAAAGGCGGGCAATTGCCTGGTTCTCAGCTCAGCTCACTTCCGAGATCTCTTTGGAGAAGTAAATGAGTTGTTATTAAAGTGTTATTCTCGTTGATACTTTATTATCATTCTCCTCATCTTCATTTCAATTCATCTGTTGCCTGAGGAAGCCCCTATGCAACTTACCCACAATAATTAAATTTTTTAAAACCCATAAAATGTTGTCATGTCCCAGTCATCCACTGAGGAGGCAGATTTTTGTAATACCGTGCATGTATTTGTAAGGAGAGTCTCTATCTGACAGTAAGAGACGTCTGACAAGGGAATGGGCTGCCTTGGAAAGAGGTGGACTCCCCTTTGTTGGGGTTTGCTCAGCAGAGGTCAGGTGGCCATCCATCAGGGAAGCTTCAGCTGGGCTTCCTGCATTGCCAGGGTTGGGCTAGATGACCCTTGGTGACCCTTGTGACACTAATTCAGTTTCACATATGAGATATTTATGAATGGCCTGGTGTCCATCTGAAATGGCTATTGATTCAATTTGTCATTTATCCCCAGAACTTCCTCTCTTGTTACTTCCATCTGACCCAAAACAAACACAGTGGCCAGTGTGAGTTTCTGAAGACGATCTTTCACAGTTAAGACCAATGTAAATGATTAATTCAGCTTCTGCACCCTTTGTTGAAAACATTTCCAGTAATCTGTTCATTCTTTTGTCACCTTAAGAGTCTAATCATCTTCCTTCCTGGTTGCCTTCCTGCTTCTGATTTCTTTCTTTCTTTTCAAAAACAACACTTGTATTGTTTTTAGTGATACCCAGCTCAGTGTTTTCTTTTGGCCAGAGGATGTGCTCACTTTGTTCCTCTCATTCTGGTTAGATATCCAGTTTGCAAGGAAAGCCTTTGGGTGGTCACTGTAAAAGCAGGACTTGGAAGTATACTTGTCTTTTATAGCTCCCCTGACTCTGCTCCTTGACCATGCTGACATTCACTTGGAGTTGAGGATGCCTTTTCTAACCTGCGGTCTGCGTTCTCAAACTGAGTGAAGGGGGAGCAGGCCAATGGGGGCCCAGGCAGTTCATCCTCCTGTTCTCCCAGCAACAAAGCAGATGCCCCAGAGGGAAACCCGTAAGCAGGATTCGAACACAAGAGCAACTCTCCCCTCCTGTGGCTTCTGGCAACTGGCCTTCAGAAGCATGGCTGCCTCTGACTAAAGTCTAACCTCTTTTAAAGTCATTCAAAATAAAACCATCTCCTTGATCATTTGGATTGCCCTCTTCTGAATCTTTTTGAAATCCACAGTATCTTTTGGGGGGTGAGGAGACCAGAACAGGACACAGCATTCGAAACGTAGCGGCACCATCAATTTGTTTAATGGCCCCACGATGACCGACAGTTTTGTTTTCAGAATCATCAGCTCACTGTGAATTCTAGATAATATATGAAAAAAGTTTAGAAGCCCAGATCTCAATATAGGAACATTTCCCCCCAGGCATCTGGTCAGCCACTGTGAGAACAGGGACTAGAGGAGCCACTGCGATTTTAAATAGCCTCCAACTGTCCTGAAGAGATTGTGTGATCCTCTCTGCTTTCCCTTTCATCTTCCTTTCATCTAATACTCTCATCATGAGATGTTTCCTCTTTTGTTAGCAAATGTGGTGACCAGACTGGGCTATTCAAGCAATGGTCCAATTAGTTATCCATCACAGGAATAACTTTCTAATGGGAGGAGCCGTTCAATAGAGGAACAGGCTCCTTTGGAAGGTGATGGGCTGTCCTTCACTAGAGGTTTTGAAGCGGATGTTGTGAGTCCCTAGCCAGGACTCTTGCCTTGCGTGGGGTTGGACTAGATGGTCTTTGGGGTCCCTTCCAACTCTGCAGCTTTTGTCCAGCTGCTTTGATTACATCTTGCACTAGATTCAGAGGGGATCTCTGGCAACCTCTGCTCTAGTCAGTTTCGTGGCTCTCTGTTCTAAGGCAGCCTCATTTAGGGGATCTGTTGGCTCTGTTGCAAGGGCACTGCTCAGGCAAGCCAGGGGAAGTCAGAGTCACCAAGTATTGCAGCACTTGGTTCCTGGGCTCCCCCCCGCCCCGGTTTCATTTATATTTGCAGAAGTTTTCATGGCCTATTTTCAGAGCCCCCTTTGCCAGGTGCACAAAGTGTTCTTCTCGCTTGGTGGCAGCATGTAAATGAACCTGCCCAGAGACACAGCCAGTGCTGGATTTACATATAAGCTAAACAAGCTCTAGCTTAGGGCCCCACTCTCTTGGGGGGCCCCAAAAAATTTTAAGGAAAAAACAACTGGATGTACATTTCTAAAATATAAGATAAAAAAATAAAATAAAACCTACATCCAGCAACAGTGTTTTGTGTTGTGTCGGCTCCTATGATGTAAGTAATGGCCCTCGCCTGCTAGCCTTCTCCCTAAAATATCGCTGGTTTGCTCATTTCTATATATAGGGTGCCTACATTCTGCACGGCCTTTGCATTCTGCATGGACTTTTCAACAATTACTTTGATAAAATACATATTTTGTTATGTGCAAATGGCTTTAGATACCGATTAGGTCCATAAATTACCATAGAGCATATGTTCACCACAAAAAAACAGTGACCATTTGTTGTTGACAAAGGACAGCTGGACATATAAATGGCCCCATTACCTTCAGTAGCTTAGGGCCTCATCAAACCTAAATCTGGCCCCGGACGCAGCCCTGGTGAGGAGGCTCTGCATTATGTCCCTTTCCGTTGCCTTGAGACACTGCGCATCACTGAGCTGCTCTGTAGTGTGCTCAAGGCCAAACAACATGTGTCACTGAGAAGTTGTGTAAAACTTTTTGCAGCTGCAAACAGAGGTTGTGTGTGCCCGTGACCAAGAATTGGAGCCACTGTGTGTAAGAAGGGGCGTGGCCCTTTATTTCCTCCTCCATCCTGAAGAAAATCTGTCTGTAACGCTTGCTCCAAAAAAAGGAAGGCACATTCATTTAAGTAATTTACTAAGCCCACATGCAATGCTCTGACGCATGATGTGGTTCTGTGCTAGAATCTCAGTCTTTGGCCAGAGGTCAATATGGCTTTGGAAACTTTAATAATGATGATGATGATAATTATTATTTATATGCCACCTGTCTGACTGGGTTGTCCCAGCCACTCTGGGCAGCTCCCCACAAAAAAATAGTAAAAACACAACACATCAGACACTAAAAACTTCCCTGGACAGGGCTGCCTTCAGTTGTCTTTTAAAAAACACAGTGTTTATCTGTTGACATCTGCTGGGAGGGCATTCCACGGGGCGGGCATGACTAGCGAAATTGGCATTTACAGGTTTTGATGCTGTACTGAATTATTCACCCATCTTTTAGAACCTGGCAGAGGAACAATTTGACTGGCTTCTAAGGAAACACACCGTGGCTACACTTCTCAGTTCAGTGGTTCTGCCCCCTGAGGGTTGTGGTGGCATCGCCTAGAGGGGTGCTGAGGTAGGGGTGTGTGTGCAGGAGAGCACTGGAGGTATAAATGACTACCAGACTTTGAAAAGTTCATATCACTGGATCAAGTTCATCAGTTTTGTTGAACTAATTGAACTGAATAGTTTAAACTGGATTTTTTTGGGGGGAGGAGTGCAATTAATTGTTACTGTTCTGACTTGTACTTACTGGCCATGCAAACCGCTATTCTGGGTGTTTTCTATAGGGTGGGGGCACTGGAATAACCGGATACACAAATATAGGATGGGGGACACCTGGCTTACTAGCAGGACATATGAAAAGGATCTCAGAATCTTAGTAGACCACAAGCTGAACATGAGTCCACAGTGTGATGCAGCAGCAAAAAAAGTTAATGCTATTCTAGGCTGCATCAGCAGAAGTCTAGCCACCCAGAGTGGCTGGGGAAACCCAGCCAGATGGGCAGGGTACAGATAATAAATAATAATCATAATAATAATCATCATAATAATTATAGTGTCCAGATCAAGGGAAGTCATAGTCCCACTCTATTCTGCCTTGGCCAGACCATACTTTAAACACTGTCCAGTTCTGGGCACCACAATTTAAGAAGGATGTTCATAAACTGGAACATGTCCAGAGGAGGGCAAACAACATGATCCAGGGTCTGGAAACCAAGTTTTATGAAGAATGGTTGAAGGAGCTGGCTATGTTTAGCCTGGAAAAGAGGAGACTGGGAGGAGATATGAGAGACATCTTCAAATATCTCAAGGGCTGTCACAGGGAATCATAGAATCATAGAGTTGGAAGAGACCACAAGGGCCATCGAGTCCAACCCCCTGCCAAGCAGGAAACACCATCAGCGCACTCCTGACATATGGTTGTCAAGCCTCTGCTTAAAGACCTCCAAAGAAGGAGACTCCACCACACTCCTTGGCAGCAAATTCCACTGTCAAACAGCTCTGACTGTCAGGAAGTTCTTCCTAATGTTGAGGTGGAATCTTCTTTCTTGTAGTTTGGGAAGAGGGAGCAAGCTTGTTTTCTCCTGCTCTAGAGCATGGGTCCCACCAGAGTGGTACCTATTTATCTACTTGCACTTGACGTGCTTTTGAACTGCTAGGTTGGCAGGAGCAGAGACTGAGCAACAGGAGCTCACCCCGTCGCGGGGATTTGAACCGCCGACCTTTCGCTCAGCAAGCCCAAGAGCATGGGTAGGCAAACTACGGTAGGTCCCAGGGGCTGGATCTGACCCAATCACCTTCTCAATCCGGCCCGCAGACGGTCCAGGAATCAGCGTGTTTTTACCTAAGTAGAATGTGTCCTTTTATTTAAAATGCATCTCTGGCTTATTTGTGGGGCATAGGAATGCGTTCATTTTCCCCCTTCAAAATCTAGGAAGACACAAGATCTACCCACTCTGGAAGAATGGCAGATGAAGCTGATGGACTATATGGAATTGGCAGAAATGACTGGCAGAATCCGAGACCAGGGAGAAGAGTCGGTGAAAGAAGACTGGAAGGAATTTAAAGACTATTTACAGAAATATTGCAAAATCAATGAATGTTAGAGTGATGTTGGATAGAAACTAAGTGCTTTAAGAGATACGAAAAAAGGTTTATAAATGGGTAAAAGCTTAATGGTAAGGATTTGCTGAACTAACAAACTGAACTGGAATACAAAAAAGGGAGGTATGAGGAGGTCCGGGGAAGATATGCTATGGAAAATTAAGGTGTTTTTGACTGTTTTTATTTTGTATGTTTCTTTTTATTCTTCATTTTTTGGTTATATCTTAAAAACTTTATTCTTTTTTCTGCATTTTGTATTGTCTTGTATTTTTATTTTTTGTTTTTGTATTCTTTGAAACTTTAATAAATATCATTTTAAAAAAAACAAACCATTTTCCCCCTTCAAAATCTAGTCCGGCCCCCCCAAGGGCTGAGGGGCAGTGGACCGGCCCCCTGCCGACAAAGAGGCTGCGTGGTCTAGTGGATGCGGGCGGGCGGTGCTGCGGGACAGTGGCGGGGCCGGGCTCTCCTTCCTTGGCCGCCCTCTGCCCCGCCTTGCCGGGGCTGGACTAGATGCCCTCCCGGGGTCCCTTCGACTCGGCCCCGACCAGGCCCGGGAGGAGGTCACGTGGCCCCTGGCCCTCCCCGCCTTTTCCCCGCGACTCGGGCGCCCCCTGGCGGCGCGCGGAGGAAGCCGCCGGAACCGCAGCTGGCCGCCAGAGCTTCCCGCCGGAGCCTCCTCCGCGACGCGCCCGGCCGCGCCCTCCTACTGGCTCAGCCCGGCCACGTGACGCGGAAGGAGTCCCGCCAATCGCAGTCCCCTTCCGGTTGGTGGCCCGCGGGGCCCCGAGCAGCAGCGGCGGCGGCATCATGGGCAAGAAGAAGGCGGCGGCGGCGGCGGGGCTGGGCCGGGCGCTGATGCGGGAGCGCAGCGGGGGCCGCGGGGGCCGCCGGGCGGCGGAGGGATGGGTGAGTGGCGGGAGGGGGCTCTCGCCCCGCCCGGCAGGGGCTCGACTAGATGGCCCTGGGGGGCCCTTTCCAGCTCTGGAGGGTCTGTGACTCCCTGCGAGGTGGGCTGGGCCTGCCCCGGGTCGGGCTGCGGCAGAGGTAGAGTGCGCCTGAGCAGGGAGGCTCCGCTGGGTGTGATCGCCCACCTCCCGGAAGCTCCCCTGCACTAGGAGCCTGAGAAAGTCAAAGGCCATACAAAGTCTGTGTAAAAGAACGTGGTCAAAACGTGAATCGGTTGGCAGGTATTGATTGAGCTTCTGTATGCAAATAGGGTAATTTTATAAAATATGAAGTAAGTTAAATAATATGGAGAAAATAAAGTGAGGTGCGTATTCAAGAAATCCAATTGGAGAGCATAATGGGAAGATCGGCGGTCATGTCAGAAATAGCTACAGCATGATGTACAAAGCAAATACAGTATCAATTTAGGAACAAATGATTGTTTATTTGGTATTCTTTGTTTTGCTTTTAACAATTACTGCTTATTTCTTTTATACAATGTTTCAAATAATAAAAGAGAAAGTCCCTCTCCCCCCTTCCCTTCCCTTCCTCCTGCTCCCTGCAGCTCAGCCATGAGGAGTGGAGGCTTGAGGAGGAGGAGGTGGGGATGCGAGCCCTGCTTGCCCCCCTCACCCCCTGCCACTCCCAGGCCCCCTTTTCTGCTCTTGGGCCACGTGCATGCAGACTGCCCCAGGCTCAGCCCCCAGCAGCATCTCCAGGTGTGTGGGGGGAATCAACTGCCCCCCCCATCTGAAACACTGAAGAGCTGCTGCTGCTGCCACCCCTTCGCAGTGGGAGGCAGCTTCCCGTGTCTGGACAGCAGCTAAAGCAGAACCTCCTCGTGTCAAGGCAGCACTGGAGAACAGGCGGCGGTAGCCATCTTGCCCTGCCCAGAAGCTTCCTGGAAACATCTGGCCAGGTGTTTCTGGTAACATGATGCTGGCCTAGGTGGGCCCTGCAGCTGGCCTGGCAAGGGGGTTCAAATGCTCTGCTCTTCCCTCACAGCTGCACACCAGCGAATTGAACGACGGGTACGACTGGGGACGGCTAAACCTTCAGTCCATCACCGAGCAGAACTCGCTGGAGGAGTTCTTGGCTACCGCTGAGCTGGCAGGAACCGAATTTGTGGCAGGTGAGTCCTTGGCGAGGATGTTCCTGTGTTCCATATCCTGACACTTGTGCTGCTCTTGACAGCTTCTGTTGCTCTGCAGAGAAGCTGAACATCAAGATTGTTCCTCCTGAGGCTCGGACTGGTTTGTTGACGATGGAAGAGACCCGGAAGATCCAAGAGTTGCATGAGCAGAACAAGCACTTCTTGTGCATCCCGAGAAGGTGAGTGTCGCAGAGTTCAGGGTGCTGGTGACCTTTCACATTCTGTGCTGCCACCCACATCCCCTGTGTTATTTGCAGCCTGAGGGTGCTGCCGGTTTAGTAGCATTTCTGTGCCACATAAAACATGAGAGTGGAAAGGCCAAGAGCCAGAGAGACACAACCTGTAGTGTGGCTGTAATGGCAAGAGATCTCTCTAGTTTGAAAATGGTGTTTGCGGTCAAAGCTGTAAAAGAGAACATAATATTCATAGCTTTTGATATTTCTGTGCTAATGAGCAGAGTATGGAAAATATGAGCTTGACCGCTTACTACAAGAAAGTAAAATGTGGCTTGCTAAGCTAAGCTCAGGCTTGGTGGGATGACTCCTGTGATTGGGATGTAGGAATTGAATCCTGTGACCTGATCAAAAAGAATGGATGCAATAGAAAGGGAAACAAGGAAAGAGTGACTTACCGTAATTATCATTTGTTTGTTTATTACCAACCCTTCACTCTTCGGTTGCAGGGTGGGATACAGCTTTATAAACAATATTAAAAACAACTTAAAACAATAGAAATATAAGATGTGTCCTTACATGCACCTGTACAGACTTCTGAGAGAGTGAACATGATAGTTCTGTGGAGAGCAGTTGGCTCAATATAGAAGCAAAAGAAAAAATACACAAAGAATATTATGTCTGGAGCCTACCACAGACCAAACTAGGGTGTGTGTGTGTGTGTGTGTGTGTGTGTGTTGCTGCTGTCCTGAAACAAACTGCAGATGCTTTAGGGAAGCAAGAATTTATGGTACCGTGGAATTTCACTATCCTGATATCCGCTGGGAGGCAAGCTCTGCAAAGCATGAAATCTCTTTCCCTCCACCCCCCCCATACTAATAAAACCCATAATCTGCCTTTGCTGATGACTTCCCCTGTGTCTGGTGAGAGCAGGCCACGTTGGGACAAGCGGACCAGTCCTGAGATGCTGAACCAAGCAGAAAGAGACAGCTTCCTGGAGTGGAGGAGGCGGCTCGCCCGGTAAGTGCCCCCTGCTGCTGCTTCCTCTTGCGGGGCCTGGGCCTCTGGGGGCTTTCATTTTCCCTGGCACCACCTGGGAGCACAACATCTCAGGTTTCTTTCTGTCGAGGATTTTCACAGGGTGGAGCCATGCGACAGTGTGGGCAGGGATCAAGAAGCCCACCGGGGCAGCAGCAATATTCAGCGGACGGTTCAGTACGCCTCCCTCTCAAATGCTGTTGCCTCAGTTAGAAAGCTGTTAGTCCGGATCAGAAGCCTGTGACCTGTGGAATCATCCTGGCCTCTAACACTCTCCTGCTTCCTCCTTTCCCGCCTTCCATTCCAGGCTGGAGGAAGAACAGAAACTCATTTTGACCCCATTTGAGCGGAATCTGGATTTTTGGCGTCAGCTGTGGCGAGTCCTTGAAAGAAGGTAAAGCTGGTCCTTGCCCTGTGGCTCTTCCTCGCTGGGAAGCCGCTTGCTGGTGGTGGGAATGGGTTGGAATCCTGTTCCAGAGACATGGGAAAAGGTTAAAGAATATTGGGAAATGATTTATAGTGAGTTGAAAAGCATGTTTAAAACAACATTCCCAAAAGGTCCAGAGGCCTTTCTGTTATGAATAGTTCCCAGATGTCAGAAAAAATTATGTATGCAACAATGGCGGCTTGAGTTTGTTAGCCCAAAGATGGAAAGTGAGGCAGAGGTCCCAAATACGGAGGACTGGCAGCTTGAGATGATAGAATTTGCAGAATGAGCAGGTTTAAAATATAGAATAAGAGAGCATGAAAAACATCTCTTTAGAGAGCCAGTGTGGTGTAGTGGTTAAGAGCGGTAGTCTTGTAATCTGGTGAACTGGGTTCGATTCCCCGCTCCTCCACATGCAGCTGCTGGGTGACCTTGGGCCAGTCACACTTCTCTGAAGTCTCTCAGCCCCACTCACCTCACAGAGTGTTTGTTGTGGGGGAGGAAGGGAAAGGAGAATGTTAGCCACTTTGAGACTCCTTAAAGGGAGTGAAAGGTGGGATATCAAATCCAAACTCTTCTTCTTTTTCTTCTCTTTAAAGAGGTGTGGCAAATCTTTGCCGAGTACTTGGAAAATAACTGTGCACAGCTAAAGACGCTGGCAGCATTAAGATAAATTCAACAGTGTGGTTAATGTTTGAATGAAGTAAGTTGGAGAATTGACTAAAATGGTTACAGTAAAATATGCAGGAATGATGGATAAATAAAATGAACCATGGAAGGAGGAGGAGATAAGTCACTGGATATATGGTATTACCGTATGTAAAATGTTTCATTTGAGATGTATAAATTGAAAATTTAATTTAAAAAACTATTAAAAAGAAAAAGAATCTTGTTCCAGAGGCCTCAGTGTGAAGGCAGCCAAGATGCCTTCTGGCCGCAAAAGCCCTTGCCAGTGCCTGAATTGCTGGAGCTGGGATTCCCCCATCTGAATAGCTACATGCTATTATTGCAATGGTTGCCTCTCCAGCCTGGGCTCCTCCTCCCTGATTGAGGTGAGGGGGGAGCTAGTGGCCAGTGAAGCAGCCGCCCCTTCCCTTTCCTCTTGCAGTGATATTGTGGTTCAGATTGTGGATGCCAGAAACCCCCTTCTCTTCCGATGCCGCGATCTGGTAGGTGAAGCGGGCCGGGGAGCGGGATTTACTGGGCAGCTGCTCAGGGTGGGGGGTTGTCCTGTTCCCTGCTCAGTTGGGCCCTTGCTCTGTGCTGCAGCTCCCAGGCTAGATCGCCGATGGCATCTCTCGGGAGGGCTGGGAGAGAGTCCCTTGCCTGGAAGCCTGGAGAGCTGCTGCTGCCAGTCAGTGCGGGCAATACTGAGTTAGATGGACCGGGGTGTGACTCAGGATAAGGCAGCTTCCTATGTTGCTGTGTGCCAAGCAAACCCAGACTCTGCCCAGAGTCTTCTGGAGCACAGGAGGCTGTTTTATCTGGGTGAGACCCTTGGTCCATCTAGTGTCTACACTGGCTGGCAGCAGCGGCTCTTCCAGGCAGTCCCAGCCCTTATACTGAAGGAGATGGTTGGGACCTGGGTTGCAAAGCCAGTGCTCTGTCTCTGAGCTCCTGTCCTTCCCCAGCATCTGGGGGTAGGGGAAGGTGAGCATTCTGGACCTGAGAAGCCCATCTAGTCCAGCCCCTCTTCCCACCCCAGGAAAGGAGAATCTTCCAAACACCCTTAAATAGCGCAAAGCACCCTCCAGGGTGGACAGAGGGGCCTGCCTGTCAATCGCCGCACGTCCCAAGGATGCCCAGCCAGCCGCTTTGGCCTGCCACTCTGCACGGGCATTCCCTGCCTCTCCCATGGGCCCAGTTGTTGTGGAGTGTGGGGCGGGTGGGGCTTGGCCATGCAGGGAGGCCTCAGGAGGCCCCTGGGATGGAGGTCGCCCATTGCAGGGAGAGAGGACCCTCCCAGCCCCAGGGTTCTTCTCCCTCTGCTTTTCTTCACTGAGTCTGGCGGGTGATTCTTCTGCCTCCCTGCCTTGCCTCTCCGCCCAGGAATGCTACGCCAAAGAGATCAGCCCCGAGAAGGAGAACCTCCTGCTGCTCAACAAGGCCGACCTGCTGAGTGAGGAGCAGCGCTGCGCCTGGGCCCGCTTCTTCCAGGACGAAGGGGTCCGCGTGGTCTTCTGGTCTGCCCTGGAGGAGGCCAGGCGCCTGGCGGAGGACAGCTCTCAGGTAGCAGACGCCTCGGGGGCAGGCGGCCGGGGTGAGGGAGCAGCTTCCACAGGGGCAGCGCTCAAGGCTTTGGCTTTTCAGAACGTTCCTTTTTCTAAAGAACCTTCCTGCCCCTGGGCACGCAGGATCCTTTCCTTGCAAATACTCCCAGGATCAAAACACTTTCTGTGCAAGAGAAGTGCTCAGGCTCGTAGAAAGCTCCCTAGACGTCCTGCAACACAAGAGAAGCTCAGCCTTCCATGGGGTATAAGCAGTAGGGTTCCACTTTAACCTCCATGGGGCATAAGCGGTGAGCCGGTTCTGTCACAGTCGGCCTCCAGCCCAGCGTCCAGAAGATCTGGAGGGCACCAGGATGGGGGAGGTGGCTCTGTAGCCCCCCGTTCTTCTCCCTTCCAAGCTGGGCTTCATGTACCTGTGGATTTTCCTTTGGCCTCTACAGGGAGGTGATCAGGCAGGCATTAGTTGGTATTTCATAGAATCATAGAGTTAGAAGAGAGGGATCCCAGGAACCATCCTGTCCAGCCCCCTGCAATGCAGAAATCTCAGCTGAAGCACGCCTGACAGATGGGAACCTCAGCTCTGCTGAAAAACCTCCAGTGGAGGAAAGTCCACCGCCTCCCAAGGGAGACTGTTCCACTGTCATATGGCTCTTACCACCAGAAAGTTCTTCCTGATGTTGAGTCAGAATCTCCTTTTTTGCCGTTTGAATCCATTGATTCGGGTCCCACCCTCTGGAGCAGCAGGAAACAAGCTAGCTCCACCTTCCGGGTAACAGCCATTCTGTGTTTTGTGCTTCTGCATTCCAAATGTTTAGTTCTGATAGCCAGCCTTTTTGCTGCCACTGCAAGAGGTGCGATTCCAGACTTGTCAGGGGCGGCTGTGTTCTGCTGAGCTGCAGGCAGAGGCACCTGCCCTGAATCCTGTCCCATTTGCTCAGGGGTCAGAAGCTGCGCAAGAGCCAGGCCTGGACGAGGACCATTCCAGCGAGGAGGAGATGCAGACCTCAAGTCGCCACGTGGAAAGGGGACCTGGCGCTCTCTCTTGGCCTCCTGGGAACAAAGAGCGCGGCAGCAGCGAAGAGGAAGACAGCGATGTCTATGAGGACTGTGCGGAAGAGGAGGAGGAGGAGGAGGACGCCTGGCTGACCTGCTCTGAAGACGAGGAGAGCAGAGCCCCTGTTGGGTCCGTGGGGCAAAGCAGGACTGATTCCCCCCAGAGCCAGAGGGCAGCAGGACCCCCTCAGGGCCAGCCGCTCAGGAACAGCAGCCGCTTAGTGCAAAGGGAGGAACTCCTGGAGATCCTGAGGACGGTTCACTCCGGGAGGAAGGTCAGGGAAGGCGAAGTCACTGTTGGGCTGGTGAGTTGGGGGACCGACTTGGAGCAGGGCTGCTTGTCCCTCCTCTGGTGCTGCAGGGAGGAGCCGGTGCGCCAGGCCTGCCTCTGTGCCAGCCACTTCCTCCCTTCCTCTCCCTAGGTGGGCTACCCCAACGTCGGGAAGAGTTCGACCATCAACACCATCCTGGGCAAGAAGAAGGTCTCTGTGTCGGCCACGCCGGGCCACACCAAGCACTTCCAGGTACTGCCTGGCTGACTGGCTGTGGAGGGTATGGCTGCTGCTGCTGCTGCCAGGCCGGGAGGGGCAGCGGTGAGGGCTGGATCAGTCCTGCTTCCATGGGAGGAAGTTCTCTGCACCTGCCAGGGCAGCTCCCCCGCCTTCGGGGAAATTCCAGCTGTGGCAGAGTAGACGTGGCCCCAGCTGCCTCTTTGGCCCCAGCCCCATAGACCTCCCCATCTCCTAGGAGCAGGTTAGGAGGGCAGTGGGTGGGGTTGGGGTGGGCCCCAGAGTCTCTGCTCTTGCCTTCTTCCTGGATTCCTGCGCTTGTGCCTCCTCCTGCAAGGGGTACTGAGTCCTGCCGGCCTCTCATCCTGGCCTTGCCCTCCTTGCTTGCTGCCAAGGCACCTTCCAATTTCTGATTTTACCTTAAGGAAGCAGAGCAGGAGCTGGAGGGGGGGCCAAGGAGAGCCTGCAGGGAGTGGCGGGCGCAGCATGGGAGTCGGGCCAGGAGCTTCCGGCAGCCCCCGCTGCTCTCGCCCTGCTTGGCGCTGGTCCTCCATAGCTACCTGCTCTGGGCTATAGGGAGCTGGTACCTGAGGGGAGCCGGAGCTGAGCGCCTCTGCTGTTCCCGCCCCCCTATAGACACTGTACGTGGATCCGGCCCTCTGCCTCTGCGACTGCCCTGGCCTGGTGATGCCCTCCTTCGTCTCCACCAAGGCGGAAATGATCTGCAGCGGGATTTTGCCCATCGACCAGATGAGGGACCACGTTCCCCCCGTCTCTCTCATATCCTTTGCTTTTTTCTGGGGGTGGGTGGGAATAAACTCAGTCAGTTCTCCATCTGCAGAGCAGCCAAGGCTGGCCAGGGGTCCTCGGCTTCAGCCCTGCCCCAGACAGGAGTTGGCTATATTGGGGTGGGGGCTTTCTAGTCGCCTTGAGTTCCCCTCAGTTGCCTTTGGGTAGCTTTGCCGGGAAGGGCAGGGTTCCAGGGCAGCAGATGGGCCGCTGCACCTGCTCCACCTCACAGAGACAGGGCATCTCCTGATTCACTGCTGTTTCAGGAAAATGCCCCTCCAGATGCAGCAGAGGGGCAGGGCAGAGAGGGGCAGCCTCAATTGCAAGGAAAAGAGCTGTCTTGGGGGGTGAGGAGGGCAGCTGCCCAGGTGGGGGGCCTGGTCTCGCTCTGGGCACCCTTCTCCCCCCTCCCCACCGCTTGCTCCTTCACTGGCCCACGTCTGCCAGCGCATCCCCCGGCCGGTCCTGGAGGCCACCTACGGGATCAACATCATCCGGCCTCGAGAGGACGAGCCGCCCGATCGGCCGCCCACGTCCGAGGAGCTGCTGACGGCCTACGGATGTGAGTTGCCGCCCTGTGAGGGGCTGCCGCTGGGGTTTGGCTCCCTCCGAGGGGCTGCTCCTCCTTTGGCCCAGGAAGGGCTGACTTGATTATGGATTTACAAAAGTAACTTCTCTATAGCGTTGTCTCAACAAAACATAAAACGGAACACTAAAGATCCTGTCTGTTTGTCTACTGAGACCAGGGCCCTGCGGGATCTGATTTCTTTCCGCTGGGCCTATAAGACAGAGTTGTTCCGCCTGGCCTTTGGCTTGGAATCAATTTGATTCCCTCCCCCTCTTTCTTTCTTCCTTTCTCCTTCTGTGTTGGAACTCCTATTTGGGGACTTCCCTGGCTTTTTTCTGGCCCATGTAGTACCAGTCTGGATAGTTAGCCGTGGTGAAGACTTGACGTTTTTATCCCCAAAAAAGTTTTTGAGTTTCCACTGAAATGAGGCTGCATTTTAATGTTTTAATGTTGTATTTTATTCTTGTTTTTTAAGCTGTATTTCATTCAGTTGTTTTTATATTTGATGTTAGCTGCCCTGAGCCCAGTCTTGGCTGGGAAGGGCGGGGTATAAATAATAATAATAATAATGATAATAATAATAATAATAATTACAAAGTTAAAAGTGGACAATGGGGTGTCTTAGCTGCCTGCATAGGCCTGGTGGAAGAGAACCCTTTTCAGCAGCGCTTAGGCATTGGCACAGAATCCCCTGGCGCAGAGAGCCCTTCGTCTGCCAGAGCTGCTCCGGCTCATTTCTGTGGCAGCCTGCCCTGTCCCCTCCATACAAACATCAGAAGAGCCTGCAGCTGGATCAGGCCCAAGGGGACCCGTCTCACCCAGCAGCCTCTTCTCCTGGGGGCCACCCAGATGCCCACATTGGGGAGCCAGGGAGCAGAACGTGAGCACAGGAGCAGCAGCAGCAGCAGCTGGTATTCAGAAGCATGGCTGCCTTCAGCTGTGGACGTGGCACATAACGGCTGTGGCTCGGAGCCTTCGATCGGCGTCTCCTCCATGAATTCATCGAATCCTCTTGTAAAGCTGTTGAAGTGGGTGGCCATCGCTGCCTCCTGCAGCAGGGAGTTCCAGGGTTTCCCTCTGTGCTGTGTGAAGAAGGAGATTGTTTTATGGGTCTTGAACGGTCCTTTCAGTTTCATGGGATGCCCCTGAGTTCTAGTGTTAGGAGAGAGGGAAGACACCTTTTCTGTGTTCTGCATGCCATGCCTCATTTTATAGGTTTCTATTATGTCGCCTGATACTTGCCTTTTCTCTAAGCTAAAAAGTTCCTTGTCTCTTTCCTCCCTTCCTTCCGCCTGGCCCAAGACATGAGAGGCTTCATGACGGATCATGGGCAACCTGATCAGCCCCGCTCGGCCCGCTATGTGCTGAAGGACTACGTCAGTGTAAGTGCTGGGGACTCCTGAGCCCCCGCCTCAAGGCTCTAGGGAGGAAGGGGGGCGTGCTGGAAATGGAGTAAATAAATGTGTCATGGGGGTGGGGGGCTGGAATCCTTACCATCTCATGTCTTGACTTTCATTTCTCCCTCTTCTGCTGCCTGCCTCTCCCCCATTTTCTCACAGGGCAAGCTGCTCTACTGCCACCCGCCTCCTGGCACTGACCCCCAGGACTTCCAGTTGCGTCACGAAAGATGCCCCTTGCAGAGCAAGGCCGGGCAGGGTGAGGCCGGGGGGCTGCCTGGCAGGAGCCCCAGAGCAAAGCAGATCGAGAATGTGGTGGACTCTGCCTTCTTCCACCAGGTCAGGGGCTGTGTGCATGCAGGCGGGGGGCGGGCGGGGGACGACAAACCAGGCACCCGCTCTGCTCTGACGCCTGCTTGGGTGACGTATAGTGCACCTGGTCAAATCCTGCTTGGCCTCTTGGGCTGCCCCCTCCCTTCCTCTTTGCCCACACCACTTGGCCTCTTGGCTCCCCAGGTGGGCCTGTGCCCCCCATGTCACCTGGAGGCTCCCCTTTGACACGGCCTGCCTCTTTCTCCCAGGAGAACGTCCGGGCCCTGACCAGAGGCAGCCAGTGCCTGATGGGCAACCGAGCGGGAGGCCCCTCTTCCGCGACCGGTGCTGAGGACGCCCGAGGCAAACCCTGGAAGAAGCACGGCAACAGGAACAAGAAGGAGAAGATCCGCCGCATCACGAAACACCTGGAGGCTTGACTCTGTGCGCCTCTGGCCCTCTCTGGCCAGGATCTCACCTCCACCAGAGAAGAGAGGCAAGAAGAGGCGCCCCGCCCCTGTGGCTGAGCCCGTGGGCTGGACTCCCCCCTCCCCATGCAGGGGACTGTCCCTTGGCGGACCTGACCAAGGAGAGGCGCTCCGGTCCTGTGAGGCTCTCTGGTCAAAGTGCCTGGAAGAGGAGGAGGAGCTGCTTGGCACCCACTTCACCTCGTGGCCCAAGCCGGGAGCAGGAGGCCGTTCTCCACTTGCTGGCAATAAATTTTTCTTACCTTTGCCATCATTGTCTTTCTGCAAATTTGGCAGGTAGATCGAGATGCGACCCTGTCCTGTCCTGACCGTTCAGGTGCACTTTCTGACACCTCCTCCCCCCGTGGCACCAGACCCCCTCGCAGCCACTGTTTCTGGAACCCTTGACAAATGGCTGTTCCAAGGCTTCTCAGAGAGAAGCTCTGATTCTGCTTTGCCAGCCTGAAAGGGCTCCTTTCTGGGCACTGCCCATTCCTGCCTGGCTTCAAGTTCTTCCTTTTTGGCCTGTGAAAAGGGCCCCCTCTGCCACCCAGCCTTTCCCCCCAGGCTGCTCAGCAGGAGGACAGTCTCTCTCAGAAGGGGGCGGGCTCTCCTTCCTCAGAGGTTTTAAAGCAGAAGTGGGATGGCCATCTGTCAGGGATTCTTTAGCTGGGATTCCTACAATGCAGGGGGCTGGACTAGATGGCCGTTGGGGGTCCCACTCTGTAATTCTGGGATGATGGGTGCTTTGGGCAGCAGCAAAGGAAGAGGAGCGATGCATCTCTCTACGGCTCGAGGAGACTCAGCCCTTCTCTGGCAGGAGAGGGTCTGAAGGCCGAGGCCTGTGCAGTGGGGGGTTTTGGGTGCGCAAACAATCCTTGCAGCCCTGCTTGAATTTGTGGGCAGCAGGGCCACACCGTTGGTGCTCAGGGGCCAGGAGGGCAGGAGCAGAGACCTGGCCCTCCTTTGCTTCCTCTCCTCCTTGCCAGCCCGGTCGGGAGTTGCAAACCCGCCTTGGAAGCCCCCTTCCTTCCTTGCTGTGGGGGAAAATGCCTTCTGCCGGTTCTCTGCTCCTAGGCTGCCTGGCATGGGCAGGGATATGGAGGGGCATCGGGGCTTGTGGCAGCTGCTGCTGCAGGCAGTTCTTTTCCCTTTTCAGCCTAGTGGGAATTTGTGGGGTGGGTGTGGTGACAACATGTTACTGAGGTCCATCAGAGGGGGAAGAGAGTTGCGTTTTTCAAATGAGTTGGGGGTTTTTTTTGGAGCTGCTCCCAGTTACCTTTGTAGGCAAGACTGGCAGGGGGATTGACCTGGGAAGCCGGAGGTTCAGTCTGGGTGGGAGCGGAGGAGGGAGCTGGTTCTGGGTCTCCCTCGCCAGGGGGTTACATACGCCAGACTATTTGGGGGGCAGTTTTAAGAAGCACTTTTCTGCAGGTGAGGGAGTGGCAGTGCAGAGGGTGGGGGCCCCAAGGAGATGGGGAACTGGGAAGCATTGCCCCCTTTTCAACATGTGCCGGGGGCGGGGCGAGTTCCGTGGGGAAACTGAGGCTTCCATTTTTAAAAACAGAACAATCTAACAGCAGCCTTGGGAATCTCTTCCCATTTCTCACTTGTGGGCAATTCTTTGTCTAAATCACATTCCTGCTGCAAAAACTGTGGCTCCCTATTTCAGCCACTAGGAAGCATCTGTGGTTGTTCCTTTTTCACCACACGGGGGCACCTTTATTTAGGAGAGAACTTCAAAGATCTGCAGTGTTACGGGAATGCTTTGCAAATGAGCCTCAAAGCTAACTTCTGTTAATAATAATAATAATAATAATAATTTATTATTTATACCCCGCCCATCTGGCTGGGCTTCCCCGGCCACTCTGGGCGGCTTCCAAAAGAATATTAAAATACTATAATACATCAAACATTAAAAGCTTCCCGAAACAGGGCTGCCTTCAGATGTCTTCTAAAAGCCTGGTAGTTGTTGTTCTCTTTGACATCTGGTGGGAGGGTGTTCCACAGGGAAGGCGCCACTACCGAGAAGGCCCTCTGCCTGGTTCCCTGTAACTTGGCTTCTCGCAGTGAGGGAACCGCCAGAAGGCCCTCAGTGCTGGACCTCAGTGTCCGGGTAGAACGATGGGGGAGGAGACGCTCCTTCAGATATACTGGACCAAGGCCGTTTAGGGCTTTAAAGGTCAGCACCAACACTTTGAATTGTGCTCGGAAACGTACTGGGAGCCAATGTAGGTCTTTCAAGACCGGTGTTATGTGGTCTCTGCGGCCGCTCCCAGTCACCAGTCTAGCTGCCGCGTTCTGGATTAGTTGTAGTTTCCGGGTCACCTTCAAAGGTAGCCCCACGTAGAGCGCATTGCAGTAATCCAAGCGGGAGATAACCAGAGCATGCACCACTCTGGCGAGGCAGTCCGCAGGCAGATAGGGTCTCAGCCTGCGTACCAGATGGAGCTGGTAAACAGCTGCCCTGGACACAGATTTGACCTGTGCCTCCATGGACAGCTGTGAGTCCAAAATGACTCCCAGGCTGCGCACCTGGTCCTTCAGGGGCACAGTTACCCCATTCAGGACCAGGGAATCCTCCACACCTGCCCGCCTCCTGTCCCCCCAAAACAGTACTTCTGTCTTGTCAGGATTCAACCTCAATCTGTTAGCCGCCATCCAACCTCCAACCGCCTCCAGGCACTCACACAGGACCTTCACTGCCTTCACTGGTTCTGATTTGAAAGAGAGGTAGAGCTGGGTATCATCTGCATACTGATGAACACCCAGCCCAAATCCCCTGATGATCTCTCCCAGCGGCTTCATGTAGATGTTGAAAAGCATGGGGGAGAGGACAGAACCCTGAGGCACCCCACAAGTGAGGGCCCAGGGGTCTGAACACTCATCCCCCACCACCACTTTCTGAACACGGCCCAGGAGGAAGGAGCGGAACCACTGTATAACAGTGCCCCCAGCTCCCAGCCCCTCAAGACGGTCCAGAAGGATGTTATGGTCGATGGTATCAAACGCCGCTGAGAGATCCAGCAGAACTAGGAAACAGCTCTCACCTTTGTCCCTAGCCCGCCGGAGATCATCAACCAGTGCGACCAAGGCAGTTTCAGTCCCATGATGAGGCCTGAATCCCGACTGGAAGGGATCCAAATGGTCCGCTTCTTCCAGGCGTGCCTGGAGTTGTTCAGCAACCACTCGCTCAATCACCTTGCCCAAGAATGGAAGATTTGAGACTGGGCGATAGTTGGCTATCGTGGCCGCATCTAAAGATGGTTTTTTAAGAAGCGGTTTAATAACCGCCTCTTTCAGCGGGTCTGGGAAGGCTCCCTCACGGAGGGAAGCATTCACCACCCCACGAAGCCCATCGCCCAGTCCTTCCCGGCTAGCTTTTATAAGCCAGGATGGGCAAGGATCAAGGAGGCAAGTGGTTGGTTTCACTCGTCCAAGCAGCCTGTCCACATCCTCGGGGGTAACAGATTGGAATTGATCCCACACAACTTGACTAGACAGGACTCTAGCACTCTCCCGCCCGGCCCTGCTCCCACGGTGGAGTCTACCTCTTCTCGAATCTGAGCGACTTTATCTGCAAAAACTTTGCAAAGTCATTGCAGGAGATCATGTGGCCGCTACTGGGCCCTGATGGAGCAGGTGGTTCCGCTAAATTGCGAACCACCTGAAAGAGTCTCCTGCTGCTGTTTTCCGCAGATGCAATAGAGGCGGTGAAGAAAGTCTTCTTCGCCGTCGCTATCGCCACTTGGTAGGCTCGACATTGAGCTCTAACCCGTGTCCGGTCAGATTCAGAATGGGTTATCCGCCACCGGCGCTCTAGCCGTCTCAGCGATTGTTTCATTGCCCTCAGATCCGTGGAAAACCACGGGGCTGTCCGGACTCCATGCAATCGGAGAGGGCGCTTTGGAGCCAAACAGTCAATAGCCCTGGTTAACTCCACATTCCAGCGGGCCACCAGGGAATCAGCTGAAAGGCCATCAACATGGGATAAAACATCCCCTACCACTCTCTGGAAACCATTTGGATCCATTAAGTGGCGGGGCGGACCATCTGAATCGGTCCCGCCTCCCTGCAGAGGGAAGGGTAACGGAGAAGTCCAGTTGCACCAGGAAGTGATCTGACCATGGCACTTCTTTGGTTTCGCTTTTACTTAATGTCAGATCACCAACATCCATAGAGGTGAACACCAGGTCTAAGGCATGCCCGTGGCTATGAGTTGGGCCAGACTTATTCAGGGACAGCCCCATGGAGGCCATGCTTTCCACGAAGTCCCGAGCGGCCCCTTGTAAGGTCGTGTCGGCATGGATGTTAAAGTCCCCTAGGACAACCAAACTAGGTGTCTCCAGGAGGACATCCGCCACGACCTGAAGCAGCTCGGGCAGGGAATCCTTGGTGCAGCGGGGAGGTCGGTACACCAATAGGAATCCTGTACTGCCCCTATTGCCCAACTTCCAGAACATGCACTCAGAGAACTGGGTCTTTCCAATAGGACGCCTGGTGCAAACTAATGACTTCCTAAAAATCACTGCAACCACCCCTCCCCGCCCACAAGGCCTGGGTTGCTGTGCGTAAGAGAAACCTGGTGGACAAGCAGCGGCAAGGACGGGCCCATCTGCTTCATCCAACCAGGTCTCTGTCACACATGCCAGGTCAAATCCTCCATCCACAATCAGGTCGTGGATGGCAGAGGTTTTATTCATCATTGACCTGGCATTGCACAGCAACACTTTCAGGTCATGTGGGTTTCCCTTGTTGATTCCAGTATTCTTCCGGTCAGGACCAGACCTGGAGGCAGGGATAGTCCTCAAACAACGACTAAGCCTGCTTCCTCGGTAATGACATGGTCTGGTCTTAGCGTAACTCCTCCTCCTACCCGTGATCACTGAGATCGGTTGTCCGAGTGCATCCCCCCCTGTGGAACCTGCCCCAGCCATTTTGTTTGCTGGGACCCACTCCCAGGCAGCCCTGACCTAATCGATCTGGAGTAAAAAGATGGGTTGGGTTTTTTTTTGTTAGCTTCCAGACCCACCCCCACTTTACGACTGTTAACAGACACCCAGAACAGGAGGAGGACTTGGCAAGAGCTGCTTCAGGGATCATTGAATAGTATTCTAGAATGGTAGAGTTGGAGGGGGTCCCAAGGGTCATCTAGTCCAACCCCCTGCAGTGCAAGAATCTCAGCTACCATGATGACTCTGTGCTCCTTCCACGATGTGCCAATGTGGACCGGCTTCTGGGAGTCGCCATCGCAGCCTGTTGTGCTCCAGTTCTGGGCTTTTCCCCTTGGGAGCGTCTGCCTGGACACTGTAACTGGAGGCTGGACTGGATGAGGTCCTGCTTGGCCCCATCCTGCTGCTGCAGGGCTCTTTTTGGAGGTCCGCTCCCTTCCTCCTCCTCCTCCTCCTCCTCCTCTGCACCCACAGCAGCTGGGCGGGCGAGAAGCCCACTGATCCCTGCCGGATGCCCTCCTGGGAGACCGGGCTGATAAGAGGCCCCTCCAGTCGCACAGCGGAGATGGATGTCCCGGCCAGTGCCTCCCGGCAGCAGCAGCAGCAGCAGCGAGGGCCAGTGGACAATGGAGCAGCCGGGAGCCTCTCTGGAGAGAGGAAATTCTCCTCCTGAATTGGCTTTTCCTATTGCGATAAGGGAGCGCACAATCCAGCCAGCGGCTCCAGGCAAGGCAGCCTCCATGGTGGAGCTGTGGGGGGCTCTTTGGAAGGGGTGCAGGTTGAGGGGCGGGGGGGGGGAGGCCTTGGGGGAGCACTTTGCTTGCAGCTCAGCAGGATCTTCATGTTGTGCTGTGCCTGGGGACTGAAACGGACAGAGCAGCTTGGTGGGTGGCATCCATTTTGCTAGTCATACAATCATAGAGTTGGAAGGGACCCCCAAGGATCATCTAGTCCAACCCCCTGCAATGCAGGAATCTCAGCTCAAGCATCCAGGACAGACGGCCACCCAACCTCGGCTTAAACACCTCCAAGGAAGGAGAGTCCACCACCTCCAGAGGGAGACTTTTTCACAGGTGAAGAGCTCTTACTGTCAGAAAGTTGATTTTTGTTCTCATCCTGAATCAAATTTCTTAACCCAAGGTACTACTTCTGGGTTAGCAGAGTCTGTAACCTGAAGCATCTGTAACCCAAGGTTCCACTGTACCCAGAACAAACTAATTTGGTCTCTAAGGTGCTATTGGACAATTTTTTTATTTATTTCGACTGTGTCAGACCAACATGGCTACCTACCTGTCAGAAAGTTCTTCCTGATGTTTAGTTGGAATCTTCTTTCTTGTAACTTGAAGCCATGGGTTCGAGTCCTACCCTCCGGAGCAGGAGAAAACAAGCTTGCTCCCTCTTCCATGTGACAGCTCTTGAGAGATTTGAAGATGCCTCTTCTATCTCCTCTCAGTTGCTTCTTTTCCAGACTAAACATACCCAGTTCCTAGATCACCTTGGTTGCCCTCCTCTGCACACCTTCCAACTTGTCAACCTCCTCCTTAAATTGTGGTGCCCAGAACTGGACACAATATTCCAGGTGTGGCCTCACCCTGCAGAATGGGGTGTGACTGTTAGTTTCCTTGATCTGGATACCAGAAGCCTGTGGATGCCGTCTCGGTCATGTGTTCGCTTTTTTGCTGCTGCTTGAATTTAACCTCCTGAAAAACAGGCCTCTGTGCCTCCTGGCTGACCTGGACTCTGAATGTTCCCACTGGAGATGGGAAGAAGTTTCTGAAGCCCCCTTCTGCAGATCCAGGGGATCCACAATGAAGGCCTGCCCCTCTCGCTCCCCACTTCCTCCCTCTTCCAGACGGGGCTCCCAGGCAGGCTCTGTCCCTGAATGGGGTGTGTGCATGTGCAGAAACTGGTTTGTTGCAGGGGAGCCTGGCTGGGGCAGAGCTCCACACCTGCGCAACGGCAAAATGGAGCTTTGCTGGGTGGGGGTTTAGAGCTGGCCCAGGGTGTGCTGGTGCCTGTGATGTGCAATTGGGGAGGTGGACAAGTCACCCAGCCGCTCTTGCAGGGGGAGGCCAGAAGGGGCCCTGCTCCCCTCCCCAGTCCAGAAGGGCCCCTTTTGATGCTGGGCAGCGTGGAAGGATTAAGATCTCTCCTGGCCCAGCTGCATCTCGACAGGGGTCTTATCAGCTCTGCAAGGCTGGTGATAACTCACCGCCCCCCAAGCATGTGGCCTCAGGCCATTGTGTCTGCCCACTGGACAATGGGGCTGAGGGAGCCAAGGGAGGGGTCTCTGGTTTGTCCTCTCTGAGAGTCCACACGGCTCCTGCCAGGGGAGGGGATGCACATGGCCCGGGACAATGAGCAGTTCTTGCGGGGGGGGGGGCAGCTGCTGAGAAGTCACATGCTGCGCTGCAGTCCGTTTTGTCTCCCCTTTTGTCTCCCCTTAGTGGGGTGGTTTGTTTCCCTCCTGATAAGATACAGGCCTGGGAGCCAGATAATGTTTTCCATGAGACAATGCTCACCCCCCTCTTGTCTTTGCCCTTTGCAGAGTCCAGTGGGGACTTGAGGCTGTTGGGATCCCAAGGCAGGGCTCCTGGGCTGGGGGGTCCCGGTGAGATCCCAGAAAAAAGAAATAGGCAAGGAAGCAGCCGGGTGTTCCCCAATGCCCTGAGCAAGAGGAGAGGAGCAATAGATGAGTCCCTGAAGTCCATTGGGGCGAAAACAAATTGGGAGCTGGGGACAATCTGAGGAAAATACTTGATCAAATTCTCCTAACCCAAAGTTATCAGCAGAGTGTTGAATTTGGAGAAAGATCTACACCTCTGTCTGTGAGCAGCTGGTTCCCCCATTGACTACTCTGCTATGGGGCAAGAGGGCCCCCAGCTCTGATATTTGCTCCACTGCAAGAGAAGCTGGCTCTGGTGGATCCTGCATCAGGGCAAGGCAGGCAAAGGGGAGGGATCCACCAGATCCTGGCAGATCCCTTGCGGCACTTGCTAAATGCAGAAACCGGCACTGTAATGCTCTGGAGGATACATGGACCTGTGTGTTATCAATGAGTGAAGCATGAATGGCTATAGGTTTTTTTTAAAAAGGGGATTAAAAATACATTTAACCCCCCCCCCCCCAATTGAGAATGAGACCTGCCTTGGATGCAAGAGCCTCACAGCCTTTGTTGGCTGGGGCCCTGGAGGCTGTGGCAAGAGGGAGCCACCTTGGAAGCCAGGGCTTGAGGGCATTGGCTTCTTCGCTTTGCCATGGCTTCCTCCTCTGCCTCCTGCTGCCTCCAGCTTCTTATTTGGGCAGGGGTCTCCTGAGACACAGCAGGCAGTTCCTCAACCAAGCCCGGATCCTGAACCGAGAGCTGCTTAGGAGGAGCAATGGCAGAGCGTGTGTCTCTCACCTGCTCCTGGATCAGTCTGTTGGCAGGTGGCGGAGGAGGCCAGAAATGACAGTGGATGGGCAAGGCGGTGGGATAGCTCCGAGGTGCCATGGTCTGCCTCTCACCTCTGAGAGGAGGGCATCCTACTCCTGGCTGGGAAGTGGCACGGCCCTGAACACCTACAGCAAGGGGCCCAGAGGTGGGCCTGATCCAGCTGCTGCTGTAGGGCCCTCCTTGTCCTCCGGAGCCTTTGGGCAGGCAGCACCCACGTTGCTGCTGGTGCCCCCACAGCTTCCATCCCTGTGCCACGGGGCAAGGGGGCAGTAGCTGTCCATCAGCACTGGCAGAAAACCGACCCACTGCTGACTGTGGCTCCTTCTCCCTTTCCCTCTTGGGGCCAAGCTGCGCAGGGAGCAGCCCAGTTGGTGGCTGGGCACACGGGGCGGAAAAGTCCGCAGGGGACAGTTTGCTGGCCACAGCGCAAGGGAACGGGCAAGAGATGCCTCCCTGCTTGGAGTCGCCTTCATTGCAAAGACATTTCGACGGAGACTTGGCGTAGAAGAAGAAAGCCGCTGTTTGTTATTGGAAGTGCGTTCTCGGCTAGGCAAGAGGACCAGGCTGGCTAACGGGTTGGAGACACAAAGGCTGCTGTGTTTGCCCACTTTGTTCCCCGAGGGAAAGGGATCCAAGGTGACCTCCTGGCCACTGGTGCTCCAGAAGAGAGCAGGAGGCGGAAGGGAGAGAGGATGCCCCTCAGCCGACCAGCCTCAACTCTGCAGGACAGGTCAGCGCGGAGACCGAGGAATCGGAGTTCCCTCCTCCAGCTGCTATTTCTTCTTTTTTTAAAAAAAATAATATTTATTAATTTTCAGCCATTTAAACACAACAAAATAGAAAGACAAAAAAAAGAAAGAACAAAAAAAGAAAAGAAAAAAAACATGAAACTAACAAAACAAGATACAAACCATTTCAAACACAGAACAATTTCAATGTCTTATCTTTTATTCCCTTATTTCCACGACCTCCTCACACCTCCCTTTTTGTTTTCCACTTCTGTTAATTATTTCAGCAATTCCTTTCCATCTTCCTCTTTTTTCTATCCTATAATTATCTTAACATATTCTAACCTTATTTTCCCTTTAATACACTATTAATCTATTTATACTTAATTCCTTATAGCATTTCTACTAAAGCCATATAACTTCATTCCAACATTTTTCTAACATTCATTATTTTTACAATATTTCTATAAATAGTCTTAAACTTTTTCCAGTCTTCTTCCACCATCTCTTCTCCCTGGTCTCGGATTTCTGCCAGTCGTTTCCGCCAATTCCATATAGTCCATCAACTTCATCTGCCATTCTTCCCGAATGGATAAATCTTGTGTCTTCGCGATGAGTATTCTTGCTGCTATTGTTGCATACATGAAACAAATTCTATCCTTCTTTAACACCAATTGGCCGACCATGCCCAGGAGAAAGGCCTCTGGTTTCTTCAAAAGGGTATATTTAAATACCTTTTTCATTTCGTTATGAATCATCTCCCAGAGTGTCTTAATCCTTGGGCATGTCCACCAAAGGTGAACTCTAATCCTCAAATTCATCTGTTTTTCTTTAAGTTCAGTCATAACAAGCATCAACTTATGTTCCTCAAGTTGCCTCTGTGGGGCTGGGGCTCTCTTTCTCTTTCTCTCCAGTTGTGTTACTCCACATTCAGCAACAACGGCTTTTTCCCTCGCTTCCTCCGCAGTTTGCCGTATCAAAGTAGGTTCCTGTATCGATTTCTGGGTAGTTTCTGTATTGGTATTGTTTATACTTTCTGTATTTAGGTTAATTTTAGTAATTGAAACATCCACTTTCGCATTTATCATGTCCATTTTCCTGTGAAGCTGATCCAATGAGTCATTTATCTTATATAATGCAGCCACTAAAGCCTCTTCTGTCGACATTCCTCTTAGTTTTAAATATACTAGCACAAAGACAGCAACAGAAAGAACAGGAGGGCATAATGATAGACCTCTCCTGGATTGTTACCAAGTCCTCCCAGACCTTAATGTTTTGTCAGCAGTTGACTGGTCTGTTTTTCCTCTTCCATTTACCATAACACTTAAAAGATTCAAGGTCAGTCCCAGAGTCTCACGGTTTTTAACTTGCAGCTGGAAATTCCCCTAGTCCAACTCTTGTAAAGCAACCGGTTTCAAAGGCTTCCACTAGGGGGAAACAGTTTCTGTTTGTAATAGTCAATAGTATCCTCTTTTAAACAATCCAAAATTAGTTTCAAATTAGTTTCAATTTTCAGTTACTTTTACTCCTTTTTAAAGCAGCCGGAAACAGTAGAAACAATGTATTTCTCTTATTTAACTAGCTGTCAATGAACGTTCTAAACGCTGTCAATGAACATTCCAAAAGACGTCAGTCCTACTAGCAGCCCGTTTCCAGGGTCAGAGCGGCGGTGTTTTAAGTCTCTTCGCTCTCTCCCGCAGGCATACTCAATCCGCAACTTCCCCCTCTCTT